CTGGGCCCCTGGATCCCTGGATCCGGCCCAGAGCCAGGAGAGCCCGGGCGGATGGGGAGGCTGCCTCCGAACCAGCCCCGGGCGGAGGGCAGTAACCCCATCACAGCTCGCCGCAGCCTCGGCCTCCTGGGCGCAGGCAGTCCTCCCGCCTCAGCCTCCCAAGTAGCTGGGACTACGGGTGCCACCACGCCTGGCTAATTTTTTGCTTTTTTGTAGAAATGAGGTCTTGCTATGTTGCCCAGGTTGGCATCAAACTCCTGGCTTCAAGCCAGCCTCCCTCCTCGACCTCCCAAAGCGTGAACCCCTGCGCCCAGCCTACCCATGCCTGTCCAAAGTGGCCTCGGCCACAGGAGCTGACGCTCCCCCAGAGAGATGAAGGCTGGCCCGCAGGAGACATTTCCCTGACTGTCACTTGGAAGCAGTCCCTGTCAGAGCTGGCCCTCGGGCGGGGCTGGGCGTGGAGCCCACCGGGCAGGCGCCTCAGCCCCCGTGTGGCCAGACGCCCCCACTGACGTGCTGTGGCCTCTGGCAGGGACTGCCCTTCAACCTCGGGGTCACGGGAGGAGCGTGGCCAGTGGGTCCCCACGTCCCTCCCACACTCACCGAGGAGGGAAGACCCGGCGGAACCTTCCGGACCTTCTTGGGCTGCGGGTCTGTGAGGAGCAAGAAGAGTGAGCGGGGCCCCCCGGGCCACCCACTGCCCACAGCGCCGGGGACCCTGGCCCTGGGAGGGGTCATGAGAGCAGCCCCGCCCCACAGGGAGAGACTGGCACGTCCCCTCGGCAGAAGGGACTAGAAGCCCTGGGGTTTCTACACGGGCAGGCTCGGGGATGCGAAGTTCCACCGCGCTCCCAGCACCAGGGCCTAGGAAACGCGAGCTGGCCACACACGCAATGCGGCCACTCCGAGCCCCGGCCAGTCCAGGTGTCCCAACCACACCCAGCTGGGGCACACTGGGACCCCGCCTACAACTCCTGTCTCCCTTGGTGGGGACGGGCCTTGGCTTGGATTGTTCACACGGCTGCACTTTTTGTTGGTGCCTTCACTTTTTTTTTTTGAGTCGGGGTCTTCCCCTGTGCCCAGGCTGGAGGCAGTGGCATGCTCACAGTCATCGTAGTCTCACCTGCTGGGCTCTGGCGATCCTTCCGGCTCAGCCTTCCAAGGAGCCGGAACTACAGGTGCATGCTACCACACCAGACTAATTTTTGATTGGTTTTTTTTTTTTTTGAGTTGGAGTCTCACTCCGTCGCCCAGACTGGAGTGCAGTGGCCGCTCCCGGCCACCGCAGCCTCGACCTGCTGGGCTCTGACCATCCTTCCGCCTCAGCCTTCCGAGTAGCTGGAACTACAGACGTGCACTACCACGCCCTGCTGATTTTTTGATTTATTGTAGAGATGAGGTCGCGCTGCCCAGGTGGGTCGCAAACCCGCGGGCTCAGGCAATCCACTCACCTCAGCCTCCCAAAGGCGAGGGATTACAGGCTGAGCCACCAAGCCCAGCTAATTTTTGATTTATTACAGAGATGAGGTCTTGCCAAGTTGCCTGGGCTGTTCTCAAACCTGCGGGCTAAGGCAACCCTCTTGCCTCAGCCTCCCAAAGTGCCGGGATGACAGGCTTGAGCCACATGCCCAGCTCATTCTTTATTCTATTATGATCTTTTTTTTTTTTTTGAGTTGGAGTCTCACTACATTGCCCAGACTGGAGTGCAGTGGCCGGTCCCGGCCACCGCAGCCTCAACCTGCTGGACTCTGGCGATCCTTCTGCTTCAGCCTTCCAAGTAGCTGGAACTACATGCGTGTGCTACCACACCTGGCTGATTTTTTTATTTATTGTAGAGACGAGGTTTCGCCAAGTTGCCCGGGTTGGTCTCGAACCCACAGACTCAGGCAATCCTGTGTCGTCTTGGCCTCCCACAGTGCTGAGATCACACGCTGAACCACCGAGCCTGGCCTACTATCGCTTTTTAGAGGAAGGGCCTCGCTCTGCTGCCCAGACTGAAGTGTGAGGGCGCCACCACAGCTCCCGGCAGCCTCCATGCCTGGGCTCCAAGCCGTCCTCCCACCGCAGCCTCCCTAGTAGCTGGGATGACAAGCGTGAGCCACCGCACCAGTGACCTCTCTGTTCTGAACAGCCCTGAGGTTGCTGTGTTATGCTGCTGGGCTTGAGGGACCAGGCCGAGCTCCCCGCAGGAGCCCCGAGCAAGTGGTGTGCTCAGCCCGGTCTGGGGCGGAGCCTAGCCAGACCCTCGCTGGGCCCCCAAGCAGAGCCCCGGGAAGTGCGCCACCCACGCCCCGAGGCCGCAAGGGGGCCAAAGGCTTCTCCGCCCGAGCCCCCTGCATGCCAAGGACCGTGGCCGGCCGCACTGGCCAGCCTGCCCCCCGCCGCCCC